TTGCAACTTCAGTCTTTGTAAACACGCTTGAATCTGCTCTCGACATTCTTATCATCATTCTGCTGTTTTATCTAAATGTGCAACCAAAACCGGCACACGAAAGTGCATGGTAAATGGTTGTAGGAACTGAACCGAACTGTCTTCAGGAGTATTTTGCATCAGAGACAATACCACAATGAACCGTGAAAAGGATGAAATATTTATCCACGGAACGCCATCTTCAAGTCGGGAAACTAACAACCCAGGCTCGGAAATTCGGAGAAGCTAACCACATAAGATCCCAAAGGGGTCGATATGGTATTAAATGGAGCGCAAAGAGTCCCTAAATGAATTAAAAAAGAGCCTCAATGGAGTACAGTAGGGGCAGTTTAGTAGCTGAGGCAGGCAACAGTAACAGGATATGAAAACCGAGCATTCGGTGACAACTAGTGGAAATCGACACAATAACTCAGCACGACCGCTGGTTGGTTTGAGTACACGCCCTAAGCTTGCCCTAACATGCGTTGGGCTATTTGTTAACTAACGTCACTGATGCGTACAAAACTTTGCCAAATTGTTTATGGGAATCAAACAAATTGTCTTGATAAACACCCCGTTGTGAAATAGTAGTTCATTATCGAAAAAATCGGTTTCACTGTACACATAAAATAAATAAAGTGCTGTACATTGGTACTCAAAAATGGAGCACAATCTGGAGTTGGTCATAGGTCAATGCCTTCGTCTGGTTTTCCATTCCGCATACTTTTGCTGAGCTGCATCTAGCATCGACTCCAGATGACCAGTTACACGGGACCGATATGCCAACGCGCCTCGAGCACTACCATGCTCGGAGACGGAATTTGGGTCAGTATTGGATTTCCCCCCAGCCCCAGCTGTGCCAACTACAGAGTTCCCAGCACCGGATGGAATAGAACCAGCAGCTCCGCCCGTAGGATCCAAAGAGGCTGCAAAATGGGAGACCTTAGAGACACGGAAACGAGTCAAACTATTAGCTATACGATCCAGTTTTTCAGCCAGCTCCTGGTTGGTTACAGGAAAGCAAGCCCAAAAGTGTCGTAGAAGTTCGGAGGCACTGGCATACAACAGAGACAATTCACGGGCTTGATCAGCGTTCAACAAAGCTGGACCACGATCAACATCTTCTGGGTCCTGGGCCGACCGGCGGGACCCGGTGGATCCAGCACCTAAACGAACATTGTCTACACCACGACATCCGGCGGCGTCTACAGGATCGGACCGGTCCGTGGAACGGACGCCTTTGAGTTCATCAGAGCCTTTGCCGCCGACCAAACATCCACCGGGAGACACATCAGCAAGTGCTAGTTGAGCATCCATTGTCGTCAATAAGACATTTCGGACCTTCCGACCACCCCCGTAGGCCATATGCATAGACGCTTTACATTTGGATACATCTTCAGCAGCATGTGGAGTGGTAGAAGCAGACTGCGAATAAGGTCGGGTCGAGGCCGTAGGTGGCTGATTCATTGTTGGTCGCGTTGATGCACCTTGATCTTTGGAAGTAGGTCCCTCAAGATAATCTGATACACTGGCAAGCTCCAGGCGGAAGTGAAGTGGTTCTGGATCATCAGACAACTCTGATGAATAGATACGCTGTTTTAGGGAGGTAGCCGATGTTGAATCAGCTGACTGGGCTGTTTGGGATTGCCCAGATGGATCCGACCCACCTCCTGTATCCATGGTGGCACAGGAGAGACCGCTGGCCACGTCACTGGGACCTAGAGACTTGAGAACAAGAATAGAGTGATTATTAAATCTGCGAAGCAGTAGTTGGTTAGCAGAAACATTGGAGTTGCTTTCTGTAGACTTGTTCGCAGATTCGCCCGAACGACTGGTTACATTGGGTTCCAATTCGGTGCCATATCCAGTACCCAAATCATGATCGGATAAGCCTTCCAAATCCAAATGGGCGATAATTCGATTTCGGCGAGAGCGACGCACCTCAGTTTGCAACTGTCTCTCATCTTGAGCAGCACATTCAGCAAATATGTCTTCTTTCGGAAGCTGGACACGATCACTAAGTAGAAAAAGAATAAAATAATGACAATATTTGAATAAATCTGAACCCAACGAAAATAAAATTTAGATCAATGTGGCTGGGGGGGGGTAGCTTCACCATCAGTGCGAGGTGGTTAGTGCGGCGGTACCACACATACATTCTATGAGGGGTCCGGAGTTCAAATTCCGGACGAGAGGATAGGCATGCACTGATGGTGAAATGTAACCAGAGCAAAACTAGAGTTTAACGCTTTCCATTGGGATGGATGAATTGAGGACTGTGTGTGAAGATAATGTCTCAAGCATGTTCACTTTAAATCAACAATATCTGCAAAGCGAAAACATGGGATATAGAATAGTTTCAAATCGGCGATGATGTCATTTCGGTAAGAAGACAATTTGCTTTGTTGAATACCTGTGAAAATAAACAACTGTCGGTAGTACACATTACTCATGATTTGTTGTGTATCTCTGTTTGATTTGTGTGTATATCTGGTCTCCGAAACACACATACAAGACCCTACTCCCATTACCTCGCTGCATTCTCCTGATCCAACCTCAACCTCACGCTTCACCCTTCGTGTGTCAGGCGAATCGGCATCCGAAGCTCGCGGTGTTGCTGGTGTCGGGATTGCGCTAAGTACCAAGGCTGAGCCCTCGCTTCTTGACTGGATTCCAGTCAGTAGCCGATTGTGCGCTGTACGTCGCAACGGTTTAATTCGAGTCAACAGCTACAGAATGACGTGACAATGCTTATTCGTCGTATCCGCGTATGTACCGACAGACCGCAGTTCGCCAGAAGTGAAGAATGAATTATACTAGGACCTCTCTCAACTCCTCCTAGGTGCTCGGTCAACGGACATCGTGGTGGTCGATGGAAACTTCAAAGCTCAAGCGGGATTCCTGGACGAATCAGAAATGCTTCTTGGCGGACCACATGCAATTCCAGCCAACAGGACTGACAACGGAGAACGCCTACTCTAACTTTGTGCTGACCACGGATTCTGTCAAGTACGAACTTATCGCACAACAAACGCCATCGACTTACATGGAGACCGCCAACCTCTTCACTGCGCTGGACTCAAATCGACCACATCGCTATCAGTTACCGCTGGAGGGGATCAATTCAAGACTGCCGCTCTTACTGGTCAACAGCTGTGGATACAGACCACGCCTTGTTACGAGACAAGTTCTCCTTACGTCTGGAAAACAACCCAAAAAAAGCCACCGACAACGGATATCCGCGATACAGTGTTAGTGATTCATGCAAATCGGCCTTCGAAGCGGAACTATCAGATTGTCTTTCAGCACAACCATCAGCCGGATAACTCTGTGAGCACTGGACGGCAATCAAGGAAGCGATCAAAATCTCAAGCGAAACAACAAGAAATTCTGACTCACGATCAAATGAAAAAATGAGGGATATCCCTGTCTTTGGTTGCCCTGCTGAACGCTCGCAAAGCCATTCCATCGGATTTTAACTATTAAAAAGCGCGCAAATACCTTAAACGCCAGCTCATCAAGAGCCTGAGGAATGACGGCGGAATTGTTGGTTAGGAAAGTGTACAGAGATGGAGGAGACTGCGGCTATCCGTAATAGTCGAAATCTTTTCTGATCAATTAGATCCAAGGAAAAAAAACGTAAGTGAGGTGATTAAAGAGTCTGAAGGCACACTGATCCATATTTAGCAAGGCTGTCTAGATCGATGGGCAGAACATTTAGGGGTCCGTAAAGATGGCCCTCGTCAGCACGAGACCGCCGTAAACCCGATTCAGCTATGCAAATACCGACAGTTGACATCAGTCCTCTATCTAAACTGGAGGTTTCCGGCGAAATAAGGTATCTCAAAAGACATAAGGCCTCTGGCCCAGATGGGCTCTTCCCATCAGTGTTTAAGGAGGGAGGCTCAGCCTTAGTCTCACAGTTAACAAAACTCCTGAGCTCAATATGGGAAAGGGAACAGGTTCCAACCGAATGGTGTGAATCAGTGACCATACCGATTTACACGAAAGGTGACAGATTATCTTGTCAAAACCATAGAGGAATTAGTTTAATCAACATCATCTCCAAACTTCTCGCCGGGATCATACTTCGTCGATTGTCTGCCGCACGTGGAAAGTACACACGTGAGAACCTGGCTGGTTTTAGACCCGGTCGAGGTTGTATCGACCACATCTTCACTCTGCGCCAAATTCT